ACTGCTGCAGACAGACTGCAGATCATACTTTGAGAAACAGGAGATAAGCCTTGAAGGGAAAATTTGCAGAAGGCAGGGGCATACTTTTAAAAAGCAAAACCAAAACAACCTCTTTTGTCTTGTCTCTGAGACTACATCTTCATTCAGATTGGGATAGAGTAACAACACTACTACTTTTTCTTTTTACATTTCTAGATTTTTTAAAAAATAAATCTACCTATGTTTCATTGTCCCAAATTAGGCAGAATTAAAAAAAGTCTGAATATAAATTGCTGGTTCGTGTTTCAGTATTATCATTTCGAGGGAAAAAACCTTTTGACCTTTTCAGCTGAATACATACAAATGACATTTTTGGATCCACATGAATCTGTAAATTAATATAACCTTTACAGCTTCCTAGATAGTGCAAATTTTAAATTCCATACTGTACATTAAATACAATTTTACCTTGTATTACAAATGCACGCTATTTTTCTTTTGACATGCTGGTAATATTCATTTTTACAGTGCAAAAAGGACTGATTACAATTTCTGAGTCACAGTACATTTTCTAGCTCTAAGTAGGCAAACATGTTTCAAAAAGCAAATACTACACGTTTCTGACACATCCTAAAAAAATAAAAATAAATAATTTTGACCATAAAATTTTTATAAACATTAGCTACATTAAGGGTTCACAGCTAAATTGTTGCAGAAAACCTAAGACACATTTCAGATCATGTAATCTTACCATCAGACAACCTGTATTTAAAAACAGGTCAGTTTTGATTTCTATTAAACATAACAAAGCACTGAAAATTATCACCATCTACTTATGGGACCCATAAGAGCTGCCAGGTATTCAGTATTTAAGATACTGGGCTTGTGAGGAGTCAGGAATGTATTAGGACAGCAAAAGATGGGAGAAGTCTGAAAACAGACATGGAGACGTGCTTTACTTCATATATTTCTTCCTGAGAATGTAGAAGTTATTATTTTTTAAAAAATCAAGACAGTTTAAAATGGAACAGAAACATCCTGTGGCAAATTATTTTTTGTAAAGTGCAGAATCCCTGGTAATGTCAACAACGGCTATCCTAATATGTAACTTGCAAACATTAGTCTTGTAAATTGTACTTACTTAAAACAAGGCACATGCCTCTACATTTATTTGAAATGCTGGGTAAATGTGCCTAAAAATTAGTGGATTTTTCTAAAATAAGATAGTATGTTTTATGATATGGTATTCTGAAATAACTTTCCTAATAAAAATTAAATCTGAATGAGAGAATAAGGTAAGAAAAACTTCATAAAGTGTCAAATAGGGAGAAAACTTCACTGGATTATGAAAATTGAAAAACCAATTTGTTTTTAAATAAATGAGTGTTGTATATAAACTTTTTTTTTTTTTTAAAAAAAACCTGTTCTAAATCCAATGTAACATTATGGTTAGAGTACAGTTTTAACAATTAAAAAAACTACACAGTTATTTTGGTATCCCATATTAACTATTTACTTTGATTGTATAATTAGCACTATGAATTATAGATAAAATATAGCCTAAGCAAAATGAATTAACAGTGTATTTGTAAAATGTGATGCCTGTAACAATTCTGACCATGAATTAAAGAACGAAACTCATTATACTCAAAACATGATCAGCCCATGAAAGAAAATCTACAAACTCTCCCTCCACCTCAACAGGTAGCCTACTGTGAGAGGTGTATCAACAAGGTGAAAACAGATCTGCTCACAAAATCTTTCAGTACTAGAACTGAGCTTCTTCTCCCACTGAGATCTGGAAGAGGTTAATTTAAGCAAAATAAAAATATTCTATATAGTGCACTGACTGCTGTATACTCTACTTACTTAGTTGTTCCTTCAAAATACGGCCTGAGCCCGAAGGTGACGGAAACTTAAGTTTATGGCGCTTTATAATAGACGGTAGATTCATAACAAATCCTTTAGAGGAGCCAATGGTGTCTTGCGGGATACTTTCTAATCTTTCAGAGGTTAGTGTCATTAAAGACCACCACGCTCACAAGTGGGCCATTTGTCATAAAAACCCCAGGCTGGAGGCCCCCCAGGGAGGACCAGCTGCAGACCTGGGGAGCAGGGTGGCAAGTAGGAGGGGAGCCGGCTCCCAGGCGAACCATGAGTCAGCCCTGCGGTACGTTTTTGGCAATTGAGGGTCAGATAAAATACTGAAACAACTTCAGCTACCCAAAAGTAGTTTGCCAGTGCTTTAAATCCCCTTCTGTTTTTAAAAACAGAGGAATATTTCTGAAGAATGAGAATATCTCAATAATATACTGCCAGGATAATTAAATTACACATTTTAATTATTAATCAATGGACTGCATGTCTATCTGATTGTGAGTAACAGTATTTATGCGATCAGTTTACCAAATAAAACAATATATTGTAAACACTAAACACAGGTATACCACAACGAAGAAAATAAATAAGTAAAAAAAATAAATCTCTCATTTTAAAATAAATAAGATATAAACATTTTAGCAGATGATTCTGTCCACTTCCCCAAGGGGAAATTCTGTTAAGTACTTTGGATATAAAAGACTACTCTATTTCAAAATACTACAAGACCACTACATTTTAAAAACTTACCAATCAATACTGAACTTTTTTGAGCAATTAATCTGACTAGTAAATTTTCTTTAGGACATGTTTTTGAATTGTTGACATTGTCTTTTACTCAAAAGGGAAGTTGTTGAACCATCCAGCTCGAAACCTGTAACTTGCAATCCAAAGTGCTCTGAATGTTAACTTTTACAATTCACCTACGTGGTTTGCTTTTGGCTATAGTGGGATATAAACAAGATGCTGAATTTTGGTTCAACTTGATCACTAACAGAGGTAACCAAACAACACTAGGGGACGGAAAACGCTCCTAAAAGGAAACTTCAAATAAAAACTTTAAATACTGTCTTTCTTTTACACCTCTCCTTTTAGGGTTCCTGGAATTAGACACTTAGGGACCCATTTGGTGCTGGGCTGGAGAAGACCTTATTAAGAGGCAGCTGCAGAGGACGGCCAGCACGAACCATGCCGTCTGACACCACCATCTCCTTTCAAAACAACAAGTCATTTTTTAAATGTTATGGTATCATCACATTATCAATTAAGATGGAAATGATTTTTCCTCCACCCATGTCTTGTCGGATGTATGTGTCCATCAACTGTGTGGTGCAAGAATAAGGAACGAGAGTACAGACTTCAGTGCACCCACTCAGACATAAAGCCTTCTTGGGATGTTCTGGGACTTTTAACAGTTAGTGCTATATGACCAAAGCACTTGCTGAAAAAAGACCAGGCATCTGAAAACAACTGAAGTCTGGCTGTTCTTGGAATGCTATTTACATAAATGTATACCCATCACACTACTGATGAAACGAAGACTAAACTAGATGACAGAGAAGTTCTATTATGGAGGAATACGCATCTACTCATTTGTGAGGATTCTGTACTAAGTTCTCATTTCCTCATCCACCTACTCAGTTTCCTTCGTGTCCTCTGGATCCGAAGTACTAGAGATGTCATCATCTGTTTGCTCTCCAGAGAAATACAGCATCAGTGCATGTGTCTTGTGGGTTATGGTGACGATGCAGGGCCCTTGGGCCCACGGCTCCCCATCTACCTGCATTGGCATCATCGAACACTTCAGTATCAGCTAGAATCAGAGCACACAAAATTAGACAAAAGTCAGTCTCCAAAAGAGACCAGAAAAATCTTCCTTAGTAACAGTCATAGTCTCCCTTAACCCTTCTCAGGGACATTTCTTAGCATTTCATTCTTAGAAAATTCATCCGAATGTATCTTTATTCCTCGACTGTTTAAGGGATTTTTTTTCCCACTGGATGCTTCATTTCTTCAGCTGGAGTGAGGGCCATACTCCCTGCTTCTTCCCCACCCCACTCACCTGTGGTGAGCACGGGCTGTAAACCACTGTTTAAGGAAAGCGAGCACATGGACGTTCACTTCTACACATCAACGGCTTAGAAATGGACAAACCAGTCCATGGCAGCAATATCCCACCTACCCGCACCGTGTGTGCTTGTCCTATTCGAAAAGGATTTGCCAGTTTCACTTGAATCTGAGCACAGTGGAAAGACCCATATACTCCAACGACTTCGAGTAAACCATCATCGTGCCTAAAGTTGGAAAAAGGAGATACGGATTATTTGATGCAATAAAATAAAAGCAGTCACATGAGGACAATTACTTTCTTTCTTAAATTGAAGTATAGGCAGCTGTAATGTGTCAATTTCTGGTGTACAGCATAATGTTTCAGTAGGACAACTACTTTTAACACAGGTGGGCCATCAACTTATTAAATATTGGTATTAATGAGGTATTAAAAAAAAACTTGAGGGAAAAGTGTTAAAAGTCTACAAGGAACAACAGACTACTTTAAAGAAAACAGTAACATAAAAAACCAGATTGCAAAGGTACATACCTGGCAAGAGGGTAAGTCTCGTCTCCCATCCCTTCCCACAGTCTGCAGCCACCGCCCCAGTAGCCAATGTTCAGAACTATAATACCTTCCAAATTCGGCAGCTCTACTCGCTCACCATCCAGTTCTAGCTTTAAAGAAATTCAAGTAGTTAGTTACTACAGGGCACATTATTTCCAGACACATCCACTTAGAAGTCACATCCACTTTCTTGCTAAGATGTGAGAACTGCACGTGTAGAAGACAGCCTCCTCCCCTCACTCTAGGAATCTGGCCTTTCCCCTTTGTTCAATGTTTATTATAATAACTGAATTATAACAAATAAATTTTTTTTTACCAAGGTCATCAAAGACATCTTTTTTGTTAAACAATATTTTTTTCCAGGCCGTATCTAACTTGCTGTTTTAATAGCACCTGACACTGCTGACTCTTCCTCCCTGTTTTCCTAAAATATTCTCTTCCTTTGCATTCTGGGAAGCAGGCTACTTCTCTGGATGTTCCTCCTCAGTCACTCCTGAGCGCTCACTTCCAGCCTCATGTTGAAGGCATTCCGCAGAGCTATGCACAGGCTCCTTTCTCTTCTCATGCTACACACTCTGGAGGAAAATCGGAGCCATTTCTGTCTTGTTCATTGCCCCCTCTGGCTGACAGCTCTATTTTGCTAGTCCAGGAAAGTGAACTGGACTAGATCTGGTTATTCAACAGCCAACAAAATGCTTCCAACTGTGGCACCTAAAGCTACCATGCACAAAACTGAGTTAAGCATCCTTTCTGCAACTGACTTTCCCTCTGCCCTCCCCACACTGCTTAATCAGAAACCTGGGAATTATCTTTGAGTTCTATGCCTTTATCCTCCATATCCAATTAATCATTAAAAACAGCGGATGCTGTATGTCTAAGTATCCGCCCCTCTACATTACTCCTGATGGTACCCCAGGCCAGCACCCCTTCATTTCTCTTGCTTTACTCTCCTCTTATTCATCTCTCAGATTAGTTAGATTGACACTTATCTCCTACTACAACCCCTCAATGATCATGATCAAATCCAAGTTCCTTAACAAATCACAGCTTCCTCTGTGATTTGGCTTCTGTCCATCTCTCCAGCCTCAGCTCTTGCCTGCCGCTTTTCCTCCTGCAAGCTATGCCCCAGCTTAAACACACTCAGATATACCATGTTCTCTCTTGCTTCTGTTCTTAGCCTAGAATAATTTTCACCTCTTTCTTCACTTGGCTAAGCTTTAATTTTCAGATTCCAGCTTGCCACTTCTTCCAGGAAGACTTCCTTGTTAGTCACTGTCCCTAAACAGCTTCTCTAGCCCCTGGGTCATGCAATGCTCTTATGTATTCCTCTAGGGCTGCACGTTTTCCTCACCATATCACTTCTCATACCATACTGCGATGTGGTTTAAACGTCTTTCTTCCCTCTAGACTGTAAACTTAGTGACAGCGAGGGATTCCTCGTTGTGTCCCCAGACCTAGAACTGTGCCTGGCATCTTGTAGGTGGTTTCACAAATAATTTCTGTGTAAATAAACTATCAGACAAAAAAAGTGTGACCTCGTATGCTTCACTCTACCCATGCTATCAAAGCCCAGGAGAAAGGGAAAGGATAAAGCAGGAGGAGACTTTTTAATGGGATTATCTCACTGCTCCCCCTGTGCTGTGGCAGCAGGGGCCGCCAGGTCAGCATCCGCCCGGCTGCAGCAGCTTCCCTCGGCCTGTGCACAGTCAGGCTCCTCCCTCTCTGCTCATTTTTTCACTTTCCCCAAGCTGTTTGTCATCTGGCTCTTCTCTTTCTACTTATTTCACTAGTTCTAGGTTTTGCTGTATTAATGTCTTTGTTGTTGCTATTAACCATTACAGATTCTTTTTGGAAGCAAGCAAGAAATACATGTAAAACTTTGCCATATCATGATGTCAGGGACGTTGCAGCAATAAGTAACCACGAGTATCCTATTTCTACTGCTCATACATTTCTATTTTGCTTTAATATGTAAGAGGGATACAGCACAACCGTAATACAAATTAAACTTTAGGCTTAAATTTCCCCTGAGAGTCCATGATGAGTCAGGCACCGCATTAGGTAACTTCACACTGGTCATCATGTCTGGACGGATGCGATTCAGTGTAAGAGTTAAACAGACTCTGGACTTACATAAACCTGGGTTCAAATCCTGGTTACCTGTGTACTCGGGCACTTTGTGAATTCCGGAAAGTTATCTAATTTCAAACAGTTTTCTGCGTTATGGGAATCTAATAGTAACTGCCTTCCAGGTTGTGGTAAGAATTTCATTGGATAGTGGATATAAAAGCACTTAGTACAGTGCCTGGTACAGAGTAAATACTCCATATGTGTTAGCAAAATGTGTTAATGGAAAATTCAGCTTTTTTGTTAAGAAGAAAAAATCCATAATCCAGAGACCATTTAAAACCTTAAAAGCTTACCTCAACTTTTTTATTCAAATCTTTACATTCTTGCACTAAGCAATCTTTGGTTCCATAAAATAAGTACACAGCCTATGAGAAATGAACAGAAAACATGATAATAAAGAAATCTGACGAGCCCCGTAAGCAAGAAAAAGATACTGAACCAAAGCTCCCTGATGTGACCGCTGAGCCGTGTTTCCGCAGAGCGCGCTATGCGCTGACGGGAGAAGGGGCGCCATTATTTCTGAGTTTAACTAGCCCACTTTCTCAAGGGGAATGTAGGCTAGGGTGGTTTGTGCTTAAATGGTATTTTCTCCCAGCTTTTCCAAAAAGCTACACTTTATAAAGAAACACTATATTAAAATGCGACAATTCCACCTTTTCCTAGCACTTCAGATTACTTAATGGAATACAGATAAATCTAGCAAACATTTTATAATCCTTTTCGAATATAGAAAGGTTGATGGAAGCACTGAGATGTTAATTACCACTTGTATAAACATCAGTACTTACTGCCCTAGTAACTATATTAATAAAAGAGAACTACTTGTAAATTTGAAATATTTGTAAAACAGAACCAGGAACAAAATTGTTTTACACCCATTTTTCACATCCTGTTGCTCAATCACCAAAAGTCATTAAAAAAATTCCAAGACAGAACTTCCACCAGTGGAATCAACTGTGCTAGAAACCAGAGCGATGATCTTAGTTAAACTGGTAAACCCACTGCTCCTTTTCTTACTTCGTCTGCCTTTTAGAGTTTTTTCAAGCCAATGGAATCTACTTTTCCATTAATGACTTCACCAAAAACTTACCTTGCCTAAAATTTCATTCCAATTCTTGTTGCCATTTAAGTAAAAGATAAACTATCATATATTCTATTTAGTTGCCATCTAAGCAAAATATGCTGTAAAACATTCCAACTTCGAGTTAAAAAATTTTTGTCACGGTTATAAAATACTTTAATAAAATACATTTAAGGACCTAATTTGACAGTCTTACACAAAATGGAGCAGGCAAATGTTTCCATAAGTTAGTTCTATCTCAATCTACTTGAAAGAGTGCTAGATATAATTGAACTATTGATTTTTACCTTCGATGATAAGCAGGGAATGTTATTTTATCCAACACACCTTATTAAGAATTCTGCTAGAAAACAGAGATGGTGCCTTCTCACGATGAGCGTGAAAATTGAGAGCCATAAGAGCATCAGGTCCAACAGAAAAATAGTTGTTCATTGTGAATTCCTGTGAAAAAGGGTAAGAATGAGCAAGAGATTATGCTTCAGTCAAGCCTGTGTCATTTAGTAAGTATGTAAATCTTAGTCTTTATGTTCTTTATGAAAATGTAAGACTTTCTGCATCTACTTTTCACATAGAGCTATTTCATGCTATCCAGTGAAGTTTCTAGAAATAAAGCTTCAGTTCAAAGGCTGATATTTATAGACATAAATTTCTTTTTCCATTTCTGTCGAATATGCTACGTCTAAATGGCTCTGCTTTGCACCCAGGCTTTCCATTCCCGCGTTCCCGTTATAGTTGCTTTCTATCCTCACCGAGCTCAGGCTCTCAGCTTTTTCAGCCTCAACCTAGGGTACTGGTCCCGACTTAATTCATCTTACTTCCCAACCCAGCCTGGATTCCTCAGTCTGTCTCCAGCTTGTCTTGTTCCTGAGCAATAAGCTTGAATTTTCCACTTCTTGTTCAGTGGGCCACAGATTCAAGGCTGACATGCCCTAAATCTAATGCATTTTCTTCCTACTCAAACTTGAAACTCCTTTTTTTTCCTATCTTGTTAATGTTATTTCTGCATATCTCATCCTAAAGACTAAAAATCTGGTAGTAATATATATTTTCTCTCTGCCCCTAATACCAATCAGCTGCCAGGTTTTGATCAATTCTACCTCTAAAATGTCTTTGAATTGGCCTCATCCTAACATTCCCCTTGTTTTGCCACAGTGCAGGTTTCTAAGCTACTTTCACACTATCTCCAGAGTATCTCTTTAAAAATACAAACCTGCTATTCCTGTATCATTTGCTACTTGTTAACCACATTTTGTACCCTCTAGCCCATTTCCCCTACCTGGAAAGTCTCTTGTTCCTTTCCCTGTTGATTGAAATTGTATTTGCCAGCTCCAACTCGCACGTCACTTCCCCTGAAATCTTTGCAGCCTGATCTACCAGGGCGGGACCACGTACACCTGCAGCCTGTTCCATGACCAGCTCCCTAGAGATAAGCACCTGTCGCTATGTCCCACCACAGCGCCACACCCTGTACAATGGAGGCACACCATTGTGTTTGTTGAGCCACTCATAACTGCAGCCCTAAAAACATACCTTGGGTTTTCTTAAGTTGTAGTAGCCTTTATTTGTTACTTGAACTTTCCATCTAAAAAACAGAAGTCAAAAGGGTCAGTAATTATTACCAAATTAACTGCCAATGAATTATAATTATTACCAATCAACCCTGGATGCCTGGCAGATGAAGTTCTACCAAAACAGCATTTGGAGAAATAAGCACATTTAAGTGAGTACATGAATTAGGAGATAAGTACCTGGTGTAATTTATGACTTCAGTCCTTATAGAACAACAAAATAAAGAGCAACAAAATGAACGCCAGCATCTACATATAAGTACAACTAACAAAGTCTTTCACATTTAAATTACATTTAACTTTATACAAGTCTTCATTTATAATCCAAACAACATTCCCAAAGTTCAAGAAATCTACTTTTGACGGAAGTGTAACTTACCTGTCTAGTTTAATTCCATCTGCTTCCATCACATTTCTTAAGACTTGTGCGACTGGGATTTCTCCTGCGTAACCTGTACCCCAGCCCAAGGTATTGGACAGATCGTTGCCTGTTCCCAGAGGCAAGACTGCAACCTGTGGAATGTACTTCTCTTGTCCCTGTAATATGGAAGATGTATTTTAGATTTTTCTCTTCAAACTATTTGTAGGGCAATAATACTTGGTAAAATTTAAAGCCCAAATCAATAAAGATATAAATATAACAATAACTGCTTAATAATAATATTAAAAATTGGCAGGGTCTTCTAACATTCATCTGCATGATAAAAAATAACCACAAATACTGTATGAGTATCTTTGAAATGGTTCTGTGAAAGGCAAGTAGGTCTTAGAAGATGGATACCTTAATCTTCATTTCATCAACTGCATCCAGGACCCAGCCCACAGTCCCATCCCCACCACAAACAAGTACTCGAGCTGAGTAATAGGGAAGAAGAGTACAAAGTTGCAGCGCTTTGACAGGGGGAGTTTTAGTTACATCAAAAACCTAGAAATGAAAGAAAAGGAAAAATTATTTTCATACAACACTGTCCTCCATCTGTGAGGATAATTTCCCTTTAGGTGAGTACAGGTCTGGCTAAATGTCAGTATTGGCTACGATGCGTTTATCTTTAACAATATGCCAGCCTACATTCACTGTGGCTATGTTCACTGCTTTAACAACCATTACAATCCAGGGAAAATATCTAACTAAAAATGAAAAGATTAATACAGTTAAAGGAAGATTTTCTCTTTGGTTACCTGGACTGGATTTAGGAGGATCCTAAATTCTCCCAACAGTCCTTCTCCCATGTTAGTTCCACTGCGAGAGTTGGCCAGGATTATTAACGGAGTCCATTGCTTTCCAAGCTTCGAGGCTAGCTAAAAAAATTAATGCGAGTGAAAAGTGCTTACTATCTCAAAGATGGTGAGCAGTACGTTTTTTATTTCTTAGTAACAACAGTGTTATAAATTTGCTGAGAGAAGAACAACTTTCCAATTGATACAATATAAAAATCAAAGAATTCTAAGAATGGAAAGGGTCTTTACAGATTAACTAATTTAATTCCACTTAATATATAATCCTCTTCTACATTATTCTAGATAAGTCATCCAGCATATACTTGGATACTCACGTAAGAAGAAACTGGCTAACAAGGCAGCTCATTCTACTAAACCAAATTATTAGAAAGTTTTGACTTAAACGGAGTTAAAGATCTGTCTTTCAATAACTTTCATCATTCTACTTTTGCTTCCTGAAGCAAGCACTGATTTTACTTGTTTTTCCATATAACTGTTGTGCTCAAACACCTGAATCATTAGATCTTTTATTAGCCTTATCTCCTAGGCAATGCATTTCAACCGTTCATAGAATGGACATTGATTTTTTCTGTTCTCTTAAACTTGACTGTCCTTTTCTGGATATATTCTAAATTTCTAGCTTTTTTTTAAAATTTATTTTTTAAGTATTTTATTTACTTATAATTTATTTTATTTTGGTAGAGGGGTAATTAGGTTTATTTACTTTTAGAGGAGGTACTGGGGATTGCACCCAGGACCTTGTGCATGCTAAGCATGTGCTCTACCACTTGAGCTATACCCTCCCCATAGCTTTTTTTTTTTAAACGGGGTATTCAAAAATAGATCCAAGAATCTAGATTCATACAAAGCCCAAAGTCAAGTGAAATTAATGTTTCTCTAATCTAACCACATCTTTCTTCTCCTTTTCTCCTTATGGATACAAACATTAATGAAGATGTTTCATTATTTTACTTAGTGATTCTGATCCCCTGTGATCTCAGATTGAATTCAGATACATAAGGAAGGGGTTGTACATTTAAAAAACAAGTATCACGACAACATTAAACATAATGTTTAAATTTTAAGCTGCATCCTTCTTTTGCAGGAATATTGACAAAGATGACATTTAAGATATAAAATCCTTACTTGGAAAAAACACAATATAATTTTAGAATGAAACAGTTCAATACTTCGGCACATTCAAATAGGAAATAAACGTATATTTTTAGTTATCCCTTAAGAGCAACATGAAGACTGAAAGATACGGTTATATCAAGCTTCATACACATACATACTGCAAAGTGTTGTCACCAGCTTTAACGTTCACCACTATCTGTGCGAGCATCTAATATGCAATGTAAACTTATCTCTAGGCACCCTATGTAAAGTTCCGAACGGAAAAACACTTTTAGACAATGTGTGAGGAAAATCTACTTTCTTTTCACAGACATTAGCCATGAATCCCAAATCTAGATGTTCATCAGAAACATCTGAGGACTTAAAACAAAGATGGATTTCCAGGATTTTCCCTAAATCTACTAAATTAAGCACGATAATGGAGGTGGGTTTCCTCAAGTGATCTGGATGCAGGCAGTGACTTTAGGGACCACTAATAGAACATTTCCAATTTCCCTTCAGACATGAAAGCTCTCAAGAGCCCAAATTTGCGGCACATCTCTAGAAGTGGGTAGGGCTTTACAAGTCTTACCATCGTGATTCCTCTCACACGCACAGTTGTGTGAGTGTTTCACATCCTAACTTAGGTAACTTTTTGGAAATCAATTATACAAGGAAAAATAAACTGTGATTACCATTGCATAATCCGTTTTTTTGTCTTTACGCATCTGATTAATAGAGGTTAAATAACCTGGTGGAATGATGAGGTTTTTGAATTCTCCAAAATCACACTTTTCATTCTTTAAGCTGTTTTTCATGCATTCATCATGTACTGTTTTCTGACACCAAATGCACCTGAGGGAAGGGAGAAACAAAGATAATTATTAGCTTTAAATCATCTTACGATCTGCAGACCAATCGCTTTTGCCAAAAAATTAAAATAGTGATTTCATCACTGATGAGCATAAAATCTGGCAATAAAATATTTATAATCATATCTGCACAGTGTAAATGGAGCAATCAAGTCTGAGTCTACATGACAGTTTAATCTAACAGTGGTCTTAAAGTGTGGTCCAGGGAAGATCCTTTCAGGGTGTCTCTTGAGGTTAAAATCATTTTAATAGTAATATATTATTTCACCTTCATTCTCTCAAAAGTGTACAACTGCGTTTTCTGGAAGCTATATGATATGTACTAAATCAACAGACGGAATGCAGAAGTGAACAGGAGAATCTAGCTGACTGCTACCAAAGAAATGTACCAAAAATATAAAACAATGTCAATCTTCTCACTAAATTTTCACAAAAATACTTTGTTATCATTATTTTAAAAATGAACATTTAAACAATTTCTCAGTTTTAATTTATAACATAGTAAATACCAGTAAACATAATCCACGTAAACAAAAGCTGATCTAGAACAATGGTTCTGGGTATTATTTATTTGTGCTTTGGTTGGAAACGATTCATGAGGCCTAAAGGCCTTGCTGCTTAAATGCCTTACTGGCCTAGGTTTGAAAACCTCCTGATTTATAACCATCTGTGAACACTCAAGTAAATAAAGCAAAACAGTCAATTTCTTATTAGCAGTTAATGCAAAAGTAATTTGAATGTTTGCATATGAAGTACAGGCACATTTATGTTCAAATTTGCCTCTGTTTGAACCCATATGTGAGACAAGCAGAGACTAGTGCTGGTAAAAGTCCTGAGCTTCTATTATTAATCTGCTAAGTATTTAATCCACTCACAGATAAGTCAGATCTGACTGTACAGACAAAAGCTAGCTCAAAGAAGTAACAGCTGTCATTAAATAAATAAAGAATTTAAAAAAGAGGATAAAAACTCTTTCACTCCAAGGTCAACTCTCCTGGACTTCTATTTTTAAGTTGTTTTTTCTGTTGGATGTTCAAATTTGTCAAGTAATTACTGCTGTTTACTCAAGAATCCCATTTACTGCTGAAATCAGAATTATCCACGTGACCTGATAAAGAGAAAACTGTGAAATAACTTGCATGATAAACTTTGTTAACACTTCCTTTCAACCTAAGCTTGAGAAACTACAATAGACTGCTTAGGTAGTCAAAGTATACCACCTACAACTACTGCTCTACTGTTAACTTTAAAATAGTGTATTCCTACTGAAAGTAACCTGAAAGGATACCCACTGAATTATTTCACAATGGTTTCCTCTGGGAAGAAAGGTGGGAGGGACAGGTGAGAACATTCACTTTTTACTCCATGTCCTTTTTATTGCTTGAATTTCTTTCTTCCTTCTTTTTTTTTTTTAAATATTTAACAAATGCTTTACTGTGAAAGTAACTTTCTCAATGTCCATAATATAGATGCACTTTCATAATCCAATAAACAACTCAAAAAGTTTCACAGCCCAATAGTAAATGTAAGTTTCCAATTTGAATGAAGTCTAAAATACACAAGTCAGGGCCCTGACCATACAAAAGGATAATACTCAAAGGAAGCTCACAGTTCAGAATCACCCCACTGTTTTTGTGGAAAACCCAAGGCAATTCTTTGGTAGTAACTGCATTTAACAGTATTATAATTCTAATGAACAAATTAAATCAGGGATCTCTCAATTTTGGAATCCCAGTATTAATTGACTACAAACAAGTATTAGCCCACATCTATCACCAATGACTCAGAAGTTTCTTTCTAACGAACTGACCATTAGATTTCCATAGTTTTGAAATGGCCAACAGACCAAAGAAAGACATTTCTTTAGGCTCCTGCTTGAAACCAACAGCTTCAGCAAACTGCTGGCCTTGATTCTGGGCCAAATATTACTTGAGTGCCTAAACACCAGTATATGTCCACGAACTACTTGTATAAATTTTTAAAACTGTATTTTTAAATAAAATGATATAGGCTATGCTTGATAATTTAGATAATACAGAAAGGCATAAAATAAAAGTCATCCAGAGATAGTTACTCTTAACTTTTTGATGTATTTATTCTGTTTCATAGTCCCTATATGTTGGTTTTTCAGATTAGGGATATGATGCATGTTTATCTGGACAGTACTTTTCTTCAGAAATTGCATCATGAATTCTGTCCTATGCTATTAAGTGTTTTTTAAAAAAAACACGGTTTGTAAAGAATGTGTAATATCCGTCATGCAGATATACCATAGTTCATTCAACCCTTCCTTAAAAACAAAACAAAACACATTTAGATAGTTTTTCTAAGTATAACCAACATGATACACAACCTTAAACATAAATGAGATTATTTCCCTGGAATCTTAGAAGTCAAGTTACTGAATCAAAGTGTGTCCGTCTTCCTAAGGTTCTTGAGGTGTCTGTCCAATATGCCTGATGCCAGTGCACAAAGGTGCCCCTCATATTTAACCTGTGCTAACACTGCTCATAAGTATTTCAACACGCTTCCTTGATAATTTGGTGGACAGAAAAAGTATTTTGTTGTTTTAATTTGGAGGTCTTTGATTACTAGGCAAATCTTGGTATTTTTCTGCCTTCTTTTGTGATTCATGCCGTACATTCATCTTTTACTAAGTTTTAATAACCGCATGCACTTTTTATTTATGTAGGCTATCAACCTCTTCTCTGTAATACTGATTACAAACATTTCAGTTTCCTTTTAAATGTACTTTTTAATGCATTTAAGTTTATTTTTTGCTAGACAGATCTACGTTTCTCTTTATGGCTTATTTAAATTCTTTCATGCTTTGAAGTCCATTACAGAAATATTTCCAAATTAGGTAAGTATTCACCTATAGTTATTTACCTCTCACAATTCTCTTTTCATGTTTATGCTTTCAATTCAAGGCTTCTTAACCTTCTGGGGCTATAGATTTCACCGAGAATCTCAGAAAGTGTCAGGCTTTTCTGGAAACTCATCCATCCATGCACCAAGGAGACCCCTGCTACAATCCATGTGGCGTTTCTTTGGGTGTACTGTGTGATACAGGAGTTAACTTTTCCCCCACAAAGAGCACTTGTCGTAGCATGATTTATAAACTCATCTTTTCTAACCCCACTGATTTGTGACACCTTTGTCATTTCCTACATTTAAAGTCTCATAAATTTCAGAAAAGACTCTTAACCAAGATGATGGCTGTTATCAGCCTTTGCTCTCTAAAGGTAAAGCCAAAATGCTTATTCCTTACTCAGCACTATATTTTTCCTGAGAAATACCATAATCAAAATTGAAACTTGTTCTCTTTATACATTTTGTAATTGGTATTTAACTTCATCTAGAGTCAAACTAATGGGAAAATAAGACATTACAAATAATGTCTTGATGTTTTAGTTTTAGCATCATTTAGCATCTTTGAGTGACTGTTTATGAAATTTATTCACCAACCTTTTATTTCGAAAAATTTTAAACCTACACAGAAATCAAAAGAATAGCAAAATGAATACCCTTCAGCCAACCCTTAATTCTGATTCTTAATTAATGTGGTTTCTTCCACATTGGCTTTCTCTCTTTCAAAATAAACTCATATTTTGCTGAATCATTTGAAAAGAAATCAGAGACATTATGAGATTCTGTCTTTCAATATTTCAGCAAGTATTTCCAAAACACAAGGATAGTCTCCTTCCTTTTCAAAATGTTTTGCATTAAAAAAAATTGTTTTACAAGAACACAGGTATGCCCACCACCTATATTCCAGTATCATACTATAATTGATTTGTTACATTTCTATCCATCCATTAATCTGTCTTATTTTTGGCACACTGAAAGTAAATGCAAACATTAGAATACTTCCTAAATACCTTGGCAAGCAGGCATATCATTACTCAGAATTCATTACTTGTTTATAGGTTTTTTTAATATAAAATTTATATGATGAAATGTACAAATATGTACATTTGCTGAGTTTTGACAAATAAACATAATCATGTAACTTACATTATGATAACACAGAACATTACCCTAGCTGCCATTCTTGTGCAAGAGTGTGACTGTTTTATTTAAAAAGAAAAAATTCACAAGGGAAAAAAAGTCTGCTGGCAACACTGTTTATTATTTTTTCTAAAGTTACCTGTTCACAATAGTCTCTTCTTTAGTATGCTGGGGGAAGCAACAGAATTATATGTGAAGCTGAGACAGTCATCTATGAAATTCACACTGGAGCAGGCTTGGCAAACTACAAATACAGCTGAATAAAGATTTACTGGAATACAGTTACCTCTTTCATTTGTATACTGTCTGTTGCTGCTTTGTACTGTGATAGACTGTAGAGTGAAGTAATTATGACAGGCCATATGGTCTGCAAAGCCTGAAATACTTATTTTTGGCTTGTTACAGAAAAAGTCTGCCAACCTTTACTTCAGAAAATAATCTGGTAGCTTTCATTGTTTCAGATAATTAATGAAGTGACTAAACATGTACCCATAGAACCCAGAATTATAAAATTTAAGATCCAAGCCTAGAGTAAAGCTGCCAATATAATTACCTTCTAAGAGTCAGAAGCTTTGCTTTATTAATCACAGTGTGTGTTGAGGGAGGGGAGATGTAATGAACAAAAGGCCTTACGGATTAAAACATTTTTTATAAATAAAAGTATAATATAAACAAAAATGTTTTCTTAATGAGAGATAGACCAAAGGTTTATTTAATAAATGTAATGCATACTTAAAAATATAACCTAATTTTTTATTTTAGTCGGAAGAGAGGTTAGATGAAACAAGGGAAGTATGGGGAGGAGCGATAAGACAGGATACTCAGTGCGGACACACACTGTCACGGTCAGGAAGATGCTGGACAACGGAGAAGAAAATAGTCTATGGGAAAACAGAATCTAGCACCATGCCTGGTATGAATCAGATGCTTAATACCTGAAAACTAAATAATGACTGAATGAGTATAAATTAAAGGGCCTTTGTCACTTACTTGGCAGAGTTTAACCAGGCTACGGGCTTAAAATCAGTTATCACCTATCATTACGGCCCTTCGAAATGCTACCTTGTTGACCAGCCTTCTTAGTTCTCTCTAAACCTTGGACTTCCCAAGAATGTGACGCAGGCACAGAAGGAGCCCTCCTCAGGGCTGGATAAAATCCAGAGAGGGGCAGTCTGGTCTGTGTTTAAAGGTTCTGAACATTTATTTTGTTTCTTTTTCCAAAATACTTAATTCCTACAGAAGGTCACAGCAGACTGTGATCCTGAATAAAATTATTGGCTGAAATAAATCAGAACATTGCAGAACACAATACCACTTCAGGACACTGTGCTCTATTCTCTTGGGAATAATAAACACTTCCTAAATTACACAGGAACAGTTTTTACCATGGGTGAAGGGTTCTAGCACATTGGGCGCGGACTGCTCAGTAACGGGCAGGAACAAGTTCATGAGGAAAAGGAGACCTAACAGCACAACGTTCACTGTGCTCAGAGGGAAGGACACAAAGCTAAGGACAGAGGCTCCTGGTTAAAACAGTATATAAATATAGCAGTGGTTCTTAAACTTCAGAATTACCTGCAGGGCTTGTTGAAGCAAAGATTGCTGGTTCCCAGGCTAAATTTCTGATTCAGTGGGTCTCGGGCAGGGTTAACATTGCCAGGAAAAATAGAAGATGCTCATTTAAATTTGAATTTCAGATAAACAACAAGTAATTTTTTGTCTAAGTGTGACCTAAATATTGCAATTATTTTTTCTTCTTGTGCTAAATGCAAATATTTTATTTTATTTCCTGTGTTAAATCTAAATCTGTGTTAGAATTTGCATTTCTAACAAGTTCCCAAGTGATACTCATACGGCTGGTCTGGGGACTTTACTGTGAGAACCACTGAGTTATAGGATATTACGTCATCAACAAGAAGTAAAAATCTGGACACAAGGGTGAATAGATTAGGGAAGGATTCCTGGAGGAAAGGGCACAAGATGAGTCTTTAAGGATGCCTAGAAGCTAGCCAGGAGGAGGATACTTAAGCCTTGAGGGAAGTTAGTAAGAAAAAGCCTGATATTTTAAGGAAACTACAATCAGCCTGATGTTCCTGGTGCATGAAGTTTAATGCAGATGGTGATAGATAAGACTAGAAAGGCAGGCAGGATCTAGACAGCATGAGGACCTTGTGTACCGTGTTAAGCACTTGGAGTTTACAATAAATAAAGACCATCAGGGTAAATGATGGGGGTAACTGATGGGTTTTAAATAGAGCAGGGGCTCCATCAGATATGCAGTTTTAGAAAGGTCATTTGATTGGAGAATCAGAGCACTGTGACTGTTAAAGAGTATATGAAATACAGTTAAGATATTTATAGAAGCCATTTTAATCTAATTCTGCACAAAGAAGGGAAGGAAATAAAACAATACCCAATTCATGTCTTCCTTCCAGCTAATCCCAAATCCCTAAGACTAAATCTTACCTAGGGAATCATGAAATTTTTTCAAGGCACTGGTCACCTAGCTGTGTTGCCAAAAGGACATGTAAATTTGAAAGATATCAAATAAAAATGGGTAGTTACAAAGCTCTGTAGTTGTTTAAAGTGTATTTTTTGGGAAAACTTTCCTTAAGTCTAAATTTGATGAGTAAAATTATTTAAAATAAGATTAAAAAATAAGTGTTGGCATAACAGTGCTCATGCTAATTTAAAAAAAGGATTTTTAAATAAAATAACCAAAATATAAACCAAAATGAAAATAACCTGCTATCTTGTGCCAGCTTTCTATTTCCATTCTTAAATGTGTTTAGGGATCTTTCTATTTGTCAGAGACAAAACCATCACAATGAAGATGTCCAGACTTAAGGCTGAGACAAGGCTAGGGGTTAGCATTCCTAACCCTGTCCTGGGAGTTAGGAATCCTGGATGCCGGTTCTACTTTAGCACTGAGTAAAATTCTCTGAGCTATAAAATTCTCTCAAATGTAAAGCAAGTTAGAACAGATAATCTGCAAAGCAGCATTCCCTTTTATCACCAATCTCTAACATGAGCAAAGGACATCTCCACCTGTTTTCAGACAATATTTAAGTAGACGAATGTGTTGTCCAGTGTGTATTTAAAAGCTAGTAAAATATTGGCTCAATCAAAGTCACTTGGCTAAGACGCTACATGTCCTGGAAGACCATCCAGCAAAAGGAGTATCCCTTTAAGTGTTCTTTTGGAGTATATTTCACTATAGCACCAAACCTATATTAGAAAAAGACTTCAAAGTGCTGCCCTGGAATGACCCTTGTTTTCATTGTACATTCATAATACAATACCGAGAATGAGTCAGGTTTGCAACTCTAGGGAAAAGTTAACTTGTCCATACTTCATTTTTCCTCACGCAAAATGGAGATAAGCAACAGTAACAAACGCTAAAATAAAACATACAGTGGCCATAAAGTAGGGAGCACCTAGAGACCTCCGGATGAAGGCTAAGAGCCACGTTTCGTTACCCAAAGGGGAAGGTTGGCTAAAGAATGTAGGCTGGATGCCTCATCTTGGCAAATGACTACTGCAAAGCAGCCTCGCTTGGACAATACCAGGGTCACTTATTAGCTTGCTTCTTTGAAGTGGGAAGTTTAGGCCATTTGTGGAGATCAAAGCAGACCTCGACGCCCACTCTTTGACATCCTGACTCCCACCAAGCATTCTGGGACAAGCAGTACCCACAAAGGCTGTACCTGTAGTCGCAGAGCTTGGGTTGACTGCCGCACTGCTGCTTGCAAACCACGCAGTAACTGCACAGGGGGACGTTGCCCCGAATCCAGTGGTGCTGCATGGCGTCCAGGGCCTTGCTGTCACTCTTGAGCATGATCTCCTTGCACTGGAAGCGCTTGTCGGCCTTCTTGAGGCAGCCCTCGTCCACGCGCAGCCCGCAGCAGTCGCAGAAGGCGCCCTGCAGGATGTGCTGCGCGCACACGCAGCAGTAGGTGGGATGGCTGAACAGGTCCGTGTCGCGCCACCCGTGCTTGCTCTTCCGGAAGATGTCCCTGCGGTGCAGCTGCCGGCGCGACCGCTGGAGGCTGCACCAGAAGGTGATGAACACCGGCAGTAGCACCGAGCACAGAGTCCACAGGACCAGGTGCCCGTCCGCAAACAGGCCCTCGTAGGGCGCCGGCCGCTTCTCCCCTTCCATCTTCTCCAAGCACGATTCTACCAGGAGAGACACGAGCGGGTCCACCTTGGGCTCGCGGTCCCCGTCCCGCCCTCCTTCCTGCCCTTCAGGGGATCCCGAGGGCGCTCCGCTCTCTGCAAGGAGAGGCACGTGCGCCGTCTTCACCGCGGCCCGACCCCCGAGCCTCAGGGTAGCCGGGCCGCGGACCTGCAACGCCGAGGGGGCGGCGCCTAGCGCTGTCACGCTCCGTCCCCGCCCCTCCTCCTCGGCCTTGGCCGCCACCCCCTCACCTCGCCCGGCACGGGGAAGGGAGCAATCACAATGTACGGGCTGCCCCCCACCGGAAGGCCGACGCTGCGCCCGGGGCTTTGGGAGCGACTGCCGGCGTGGGCCGCGCGCCGCCGCTCAGCGTCCGTAACGGTTAGCGCAGGCCCCGCACGCCGCTCCCGGGCGGCGGACGCAAACAGATGCGTGCGGCCGCTCCGGGCCGAGGG